AGGGGGAGCAAAGCCGCGGGGGGGTTCCCCGAGGCTTTGCAAAGCTGCGGGGGGGCTCGGGCAGCAAGGCAGCCCAGGCGCGCCTGGGCTGCCCCACTGCCGGAGCCCCTCCGCGGCTTTGCTCCACGTCTTCCGGGTCTGCAGACCAGGGAGACGCGGAGCAGCATTTCTCGCCCCGGAGTACACGGGCGGCGGGACCGCGAGGTCCCGCAGTCTGTGTCCTCCGGGGCGAGAAAAGCCCCATTCGTACCTGCAAGCCGGGGACTGCCTGTATATCCGGCGTATAAGACGACTCCCGATTTTTGGGGGATGTTTTTTAGCATCAAAAGTTGTCTTATACGCCGGAAAATACGGTATTTGTTTCCATAATTAATCAAACAGAAAAGTTGTTCCAGCATAAATCCAAAGATTTTGTTTTTAAACTGTGGCCCTTGAATGGTCATCTCTGAGAGATACAAGCAAAGCTGTTTGCTAACTAGATTTTTAAATGTATTTCTACAGAGCTGCCTTGACTAAATCTCATGTTGCGTAATTGTGAATCATTTATGTAATCTGTTCTACTTTATTCCTCTAATTTTCTTTAAAAAATCCTTCTATATAAAAACATGTTACTGGTGTACAACCCTATTCTTCCCCCCAAACGATTTCAGTTTGAAACAAATCCACAGTTAGATCATGATTCTGGAAAGCCCTTAAGCATGTGCTGAACTTTAAATACCAGCTTCAGTCCATAGGTCGGATTTAGGTATGTGTACAAGTGCTTTCATTTATCAGGGCCTTAATGGAGAAACAAAGCCACTCAAATAATCATTCAACAGTCAATAGTAGTTCATACAGGAAAAAGATAACGAGGGCCTTATTCGTTCGGTCTCTTAGAATCCCAGATGTGGGTGTATGCAGTAAACATTTCCTTTAGTGACGGGAACAACAACTACAAAAATGTTCTCAATCTGTGCATTGCCAGTCACACTGTGGCAGAGCATGGGACCTGGAGATGCACTGATTGTACCACATCTTCTGGGATGTCTCACACAGTGGCAGCTTCTCCCAGCAGAACCTTTGTGGGAGAGCAGCAATGGGACTTGTATCTGCCTTATCTACAGGATAAATGCATCTGCTAGTGCAGCTAATTCTGGAGCTAAAACTTGAACCAACTTCACCCCTTCTCTCCAAAAAGAAAATGTCTTTGAGTTTATTTTTCTTAACGTATGGCAAGTTTTTATCCCGCTTGTTTCATTTTCCTGTATTTCCTGGTTGTGACTAAGACTTAAAAGTGCCATAATACCTCAAGACAGACCATTTTCAGAACTGCCCAAGTGGATATAGGGCATAAGGAATGCACGAGAGAGGCTCTTCTGAGAATTTTAACGAACAATTTCACTGACCAACCAAGGTTCAGATATTTCTTTTCATGAATCAATGATCATACTTTTGGAAGCATACCTCAACTGAAACGAGCAGTCAAAACTTTTAAGGTTCAACCCAGTCACTTCCTCCTATCCAGTCAGAAGATACATATAGAAATTCAGTTGCCTGCTCCTTAGCTAGGGATTTTAAATATCAATTAATTGAATAGTCAATTAACCTCATGAATTCTTATCGGTTACATGACTATTCCATAGTCCCCAGGGGTGAAGCCGGCAGCCAGTGCACTCGGGCCTACTCCTGAGGAGCCCCCTGCCACTCTGCACTGCTGCCTCTGTATCAGAGGCAGCAGTACAGGGTGGCAGCATCCCTGTCTTGGATGGGGATGGGGGGTGAGCTCCTGTACCTGCCACAAGCCAGAACTCAGCCGGGATGCCAGCCCACCTGGCTCCTAATACCCTTTAAATGCAGAGCTGCAGCGGGGGTAGGTCCTGGACCTGGCATGAGCCAAGATTGAGCCAGGCTGCTGGCCAGGCTGCTAAAAAATGTACTGGTGGGAGGAAAGGGGGGGATGCATGTAGTCTATAGCAGTCTTTCCTAATTCGTGCTCCGTGGAACCCCAGGGTTCCATGAAGCAAAAGTAAGGGTTCCACAAGAACGTCGCACTCCCTTGTCCCCTCTTAAAGAGACTATTTTGCATTTTTTTGTTTTGTTTTGGTTTTTGTTGCTTGACAATTTCTAGTGGGTCTTTTTTTTTCTTTGCTTGACAGATTTTACTCTGGCAACCCTAGGGGTTCCTTGAAATTCTTTTTAAGCTGAAAAGGGTTCCGTGGCCAAATAAAATTGGGAAACGTTGGTCTATAGCATTAACCTATAAGCTTCTGCTTATCGGTTAATCGACTACACTGTTACATCCCTGAAGATACATCTTATTAATATCTGTATTAATCATTTTCTCATTGAAATTTTTATTTTAACTTTGTATCAAGTCCTTTTAGCATTGTAATAAGACTTTAGCTTTGTTGTATTAAGTCCTTTTATATAGAAACATTGTATACTTTCATATAGGACATAGAAACTTTGTATTAAGTCTTTCTACATAGAAACCTTGTATCTTATAGACTTTGTACCCCCTTTTGCTTAATTGATTGTCCTGCTGAGTGAACGAGGTGTGAATGGATAAGGCATGAAAGACCAGCAACTCCCTGCACTTGCAAGGGGTAGAGAGTGGTGAAAGCCAGATTCAAGAACAATGAGAAGAACAATGGGACCTGTGAAGTGGGCTCACTGAAAGAAGACTGGACCTATGTACGCCTTGGGAGTCAGCAGCAAGGGCCTGCTTTTGGAAACACCCTCTTTGACAGTGAATGTGACAGCATTAAGACACCACCCAGACAAAGGTGCCACAGATGTCTGACTGCATATGCATATAATGACTCTCACAAATCATGCATATGCATGTGATGACTAACTAGTGTAGAGTTGCATGAGAGAGAAGACACTATAAATCTAAGGCATCTTGAAGAGGGACCTCGGGTTTTCGTCTTGTCAACATGGGAACATCAATCCGGATCAACGGAAGCCCAGCTCCATCTCTCCCCACACCTAACTCAGCTTGCCAGTGCAGTTAGGGGGAGCAACTATTGGTAACAACAAGGCGGGGTGTGTGTGCTATATTATATGCATATGATAAAGTATTGATTGATCTAAGTATGCTCAATAAATGCGGCATGTTGACTCATCCCCCTGAAAAAGATCCCATGTGCTTCTTTTAAGCACAGCATCCCTACCTCTAGCCTCAGTCAGCTTAACCCCTTAAACTTGTCTGCTTTAAGGAATATCAATATCACTTCAGGAATTCTGTTTAAACAAGCTCCTATTTTGACAGAATCATTTTACTACTGTACAATAACTTGTGCTGACCTGATGACTACAGAACAATGTTTTACTCTGATGCTGTATACCATAATAGACAATGAACACTTAATTCCCAGGTAAACAAATAATGTTGTTGCTATCTGATCAGAAAAGTTCAAGCTCCACAGCAAAACTCCATCAAAAGGAGCAAAAAAACAGCAACAACAAAATATGAAAGCAAACAAAGCTTTGGAAAAAAAAGGCATCTGAAGACAATACTCTTGTTTAAAAAAAAAGAAATTATCTAATTATACTCTTGGTGCTAGGAGAACAATTAACATTTAAAACTACATGTGCAAGAAAATGTGAAATAGGAATGTGAACTTGTAATACAGGCAGTCCCCGGGTTACGTACAAGATAGGGACTGTAGGTTTGTTCTTAAGTTGAATTTGTAGAGCCGAGGAGCAGTGCTGTGGGACTAACCGGCAGCGCCCCAGCTGCTCTGCCCCAGGCGTCCGCGAGAAAAGCCTGGTCTGCCGGGGGG